CCGCCATCGCGAAGCTGCCCACCGTCATCATGGACCAGGCCCTCAACACCGCCTGCGGCAACCTGACCGCCCTCGCCCTCGTCGAGGCCGAGCGCAACTTCACCCAGCGCACCGTCCTGCAGCTGTCCAACATCCCCGTCCCAGACCCGCTCAAGACCGGCCCCGTTATCGCGATCGTGTGCGCCAGTATCGTGCTATTTGCCGGGAGCTGGGTTGCAATGCCGTAAACGAGGCCCTTACTGGTCGTTGAAGAAGGAGGACGATGGATGTGTGTGGAGGAGAGGGGATGTTGTTTGTGGATGGAACGGGTGCGGAGGGAAGTGGTCCATGTCTGCTGGGTACAGAGATCTTAATGCACCTCTTTCGCAACCAGCTGACTGGGCTATTCATGCTTCGTACGTGAGACTGGATGTCAACTATGCTTAGCGTGGTGTTTGAATACAAAGCGATACCCCCCCAAACATGCTTCGGTGTATCAACTCCCGCCCCAGACAGTAGTTTCCTGGACTATACTTTTGGTTGGTGTTAAGGTCGACAGTGTCTGCGAGGTGAGGGGATAAGTGATATTTATTGTGTGTTGTTACGTCATGTCAACACGATATGATATGTCTTCCCGACATCAATTTTATTGCAATAGCCTGAGCTGAAATAGTCAGCACACTCACTCCCCCCCAGTTGTGATATGATACGGTTAGGGACAATATGTAATGCTTACGGCTAGTAAATGCTGGTTTTCTCCTACGCACAAGGCCCCATCATAATCTTCCTCTCAATCTCCCGCTCTACAGAGGCTCCAATGCTCCCTGTCCACTAATGGGCTCAACCTCAACATCCTTCGCCAGCTTCTTCCAACCCTTCAACCGTCTCTGGTCGACCCAGTTTCCATGGACCTGAGACTTCACATGGAAAGGCAGCTGAATGAGAGCAATAGGCTTCTCAAAGTCCCTCGTATCCAGCACCACAATCTCGTTCCTGTTCGCGCCCCTCCGCTCCACCATGGCCATCACCCACCCGTCTCCTTCGGGGGCATCATCACTTCGTGGGATGAAGATGGGCTCCTGAATGTGAGACTCAAACCCGGCGTAAAAGTACTTCGTCTGCTTGGTCTCCAAGTCCAGCATCGCCAGACCATTCAACCCGTTATGCACCGTCTGCGGCTTCCCGTTCTCGTCCTTGCTGATGTGCACGTTGATGAAGACGTGCTTGTACGGCTTGGACAGGAATCTCTCGTCGAGGCGGGGGAACTCGGCTGGAAGATCTAGAACGATCTCCGGGTCCGCGACCTGAGTATTGCTCGGCTGCGAGAGATCTAACGTCCAGCGCACGTAGTCGGATGCCGCGTCGGGGGCAGGTAGTCTGCCGTCATCGGTCGGGAAAAAGGGGAACCCGTTATCGTGCACGCGCGACGTCTCAAGGAAGACCTTGGACCCGTCTTCGCTCTCCCACGCACCGCCGGTGTGGATGAGCATGCAGTTCTTCCATGGGTACACCCGGTACTCTCCGGGGCTCCACCCGGGCGGGAGAGGCGTGGTGCTCCGGCGCGGGGCAACGATGAAGGTCGCCGTCTTGTCGTAGTCCCAGGCCCAGTGGTGCCCTCCCTTCTTCATGCGCTCTACGCTTGCATCGAAGCACCAGAGGACCAGGATGATCCAGTTGGGCGTGATGGCGCAGTCGTGGATCGGGGCGCACCACGGTGACTTGATCCACTGCTCGTCATGTTTGACCCCTTGGCTATCTAGAGAGTAGATCACGATATCGAGAGACGCGAGCCCCTTGGCCTCATAGCCGTAAACAACCAATTCGTCAGTGTATGGGTCCACCTTTGGGTGCGCCGTGAAGGTCTTTGCCTTGACCTGTGGTCCAAACGGATCATACTTGATGGTATCCAGTGTATGCGGATCGACGGAGTAGGGCAGACCGCCCTCTTTCAGCGCGAGGAAGTGATCCGCCCACAGCACGAGGTTGGTGTTCGCCGTCGAGTCCACGGCCGCGCGTACGCAGGGGTGGTGCGTGTACGGGTTGCGGTAGAGGCCGAAGAGAGCCTTGTTGGCTTTCCGCTCTAGCTTGTAGCGCTCCGTTTCGACGTAGCGCATCTTCATGTCTACTCTGCCGTCGCGGATGCGGAACGCTGAGATATTGCCATCGCCGTCGAGGGGGACGTTGCACGGGTGCGGCGGGACAAACGGATCAGTCATGACCCTGTAGAAGGTGCCGTCGATTTGCTTCGGGATCTCTCCCAATACCACGAGATCTCCAATTTCTCCCTCAAGACGACATGGCAGGTTTGAGCCGGCCAAGTCGTAAGCGATTGGCCATGATGCGGTTAGCCCGTAGGCCGTATCTGAAGACGGGTGACTCTCAGGAGAGTCGTCGATGCGGCTAGGAGTCATTGCGAATTATACAAGCGAAGAGCGACGATGCCGAAAAGCTCCAAGCGAATTCGATGTGATGTTCTCGAAGCATGGTCCAGAAACTTTTAAGAACATTCCGCCCGGGGATCTCAGTCTTATACGCGAATCATCACAATCATCAGACGACCTCATCTCGATAAAGTCATCCAAGGGTCATCAGATTCCCCCTCGGGCGCATGGCAATTCTCACAACTACCGAAACGCACCTCCTTGGCCGTACCATATTAGAGTTCCTCGGCCGAGGCCTCGTGGCCGGGCCGCAGTCCACAATCGACAGATCCCACCCCAGGATTCCCCGCATACAGGAGCGGCCGACTCGTTTGCCTGCAGCGGCACCATGGGGCCCCTACGCCGCGGCCGGCTCGCCCAACACCAACGAACGAGCTAAATATGGGACGGGGCAGCCAAGAAGATCCAAGATTATCAAGCACGGATGCAATTTTCAACCGTCATCCCATCACCCAAGTGGGCAAAATGGCAGAGCCAACAAACCACGTCACGCACATGGTTGACGACAGTTAAGAAGGAGCTGACTGATACTGCTTCGACTGTCGGCCGCCGCCCTGAAACCCCATGTGACGCTGGGCTTAGACCCCGGAGCGGACACACCCTCCATGTCCTTCCCGCCGCGGCTGGCATCGCATTTTCGTCTCTTGGTATGGGGATATTAGTATTCCTCGGTCTCGTATTGGCTGGGCGGTCGCATCTGGAAGCTCTGAGGACTGCAGGGTAGGTTTCAGCGATACTACTTCGGGATCTAGCGGTCTGATGAACCCGTCGGCATGGTGCCGACTTGATGGGTCCGTGCAACGACACTTCAAGTGTGTGTTCGTTCCTACGGATTGCGCGGGGGCATTGCGAGGACTGACGGGTTGTTGGATGGCTCCGAGATTGAATTGCCGACGGATGGGTTATCACGAACAACATGGTCAATCTCCTTTCGCCCGGAGACTTCACAACCTTCTAGATCTGGTGAAAGGTGAGCTGATTATTCTGGATCTTTGGTTAATATGAGAGAGCTGTACATTACGACGATCAGCCATCCTCACTTGTGCATGTCCTTTGGCTTTGTTGGGCAGGCCTTCCTGCGGGGTGAGCAGATTAAATCACATGTCCGTCAATTGTTGTTAGAAGTGTGGACTTGGCGCAGCTAATCAACAAATGCCATTTGAAGATGCCAGCGCTCGGGAGGACAGGAATTGAAGTACTTCTTCAATGCCGCAGACATAGAGAACCCCATAAATTTCAAGTCAAGCCAATCTGGGGGGGAGACACAAATGAAAGACAAGCCAAATCACCATTTCCTCCATCCGTCAAGGATTCTGATCCTGACCTCCATTATCAGCGGCGTACTCTCAAGTCTCCATGTTGCCATGCGACAATGTCTTCCCACACGTATTTGCCCGGATCGACGTTTGTAGGCGGCCCCTTCAACATTCTCATAATATCCTCCTTTGGTTTCACAGCCCCCCCACATAATCATACTTGTAGTTGAGCTCACAGCAAGCGACAAACGTCCTACCGAAGTCGTGTAAAGCTTCGGAGGAAGTGTGACGACCGTTCCTACGGCTTTATAGCCCGCTGCAAATGTCTTCTTCCCAGCCTGTACGGCACGACTGATTAGGCCCGAAGCGGTTGCGGAGAGACTGCCCAGAGACCCGCTACCGGGGTTTCGTTTCCGCTTCCACTGGTTTTCCCTAAGCATATTCTCCTGATTGACCCTCATGTACTGACGCTCCCAGAGTCCGATTCGCTCCTCATGGAGTACGATTCGTACGTCAGGTGGCACAACTTTCGATTTCGGCGGTGATCTGACCCAGGCCCATCTGTCCGCCGGATTTTCCACAGGTCGCTGTTGGTCATTTTGCGGTATGTTGTCTCCCTTTTTACGGCTTCTAACATTGCCGTCGTTCATCAGCTCTCCGTCTCGTGTTACCTGGTCTTCTCCTACCTGTCGAGACTGCCACCCTTCATCGTTCGGCAGACCACAGTAAGGCATATCCGAGCGCCATGTGCCTATATTCATATCGCTCATGTGAAGATCGCTCTCGAAAGGCAGCTGTTTTGCTACGACAGAGTGAGGTCGTGCATTTCCCGCATTCTTCACGAAAGTAATGTTAGTCCCACCGTGAATGGACGAAACGTTCCCACTCAGGGTTCGATGGGTGGATAGTTACGACTGGTCCGGCCTCCTAACCCAATCATCGCGAGACCCTTCTGACTTTTCAAGAATGTAATGGCTTGACGAAAGAGCGTCGCACTTCCATTCACCTTTGTCGTCTAGGCCAAGGCCTTTATAAAGGTAACGCACTCGAACCGATGGGTCGACTAATTCGTTGGTGTTCTTGAGCCGGCTTTTCAGTGGATTGTTGTCCTCTGTGCATAAGCCGGGCTCTCGATGCGCAGCTTCACCAAAGTGTACAAGCTTCCCGACTGTCTTGTCAGCGAGCTTAACCCAAAATTCGGCTGAGCTGATGTGTCCAAGCGCCCAAGAGCGAGGCTCGACTTCGAGATCGACTGTGCGGAAAGTTCTTGTCATTTCCTCAGGATTGAACTCAACCCCTACGGAGCTCAGTTGGTCGGCCATCCCTATGGTACTTATGTCAGCTATGCACAAAGATGTGCTGTTCTTGTATCGTCTTACAAGCAAAAGCAATCGTGGCCATTTGCTGATTCGCTAGTCCTCCGCCCACATCGCTATGGCTACCGGGAAACCAGACTTGGCGAAGGTGCGTGTTTTTGTTGCTGATATCCCTACTCCACAAAGTCGGCTTGAACGGCTTTCGGTACTCGTCCCAAGCCAATGCGTGGAACGCATGTTGAATGCGTTCGTGGACATCTTGGCTCCCAAATCGAATCTATCGGCTCCGTCAGTTTCGATGTACTAATCACAGTGGTGAAAAGGGCTTGCAGCCCGCAAGTATAACGAGGATTGCACGAACCTCATCTTCGCTACGGCCCATCTTCGAGAGGCTGTATGGCATTCCAAGACTTCCAACTGTGTCCCAAACTCCTGCATTGGCGGACCATGTTAGCTCTGGCCTGTGCAACGCGGAGCACATCATGTACTCACCAACAGCCTTAACCTCGATTTCCCCAGGCACCCAAGGATCATTAATGCTTTTCAAAAATTTCCCAAGTGTCGAACCATTCCTATGGTCTTTGTCTTCGCAAACAATCATCTTGTACTGAGGGAAGAAACAGGTTAGCATGTGTCTGTTATTCAATGCAGGGGGGAATGACATGCGCGAAACAACAACGTTGCGTAGAAGTCAGCCATCCCTTGAAGGCCATACCTGGCACCTGCAAGGAGAAGTTTTTTGAACCACCTCTGCCGCAATAAGTCGATATCCTGTTCTGATGTCTTCCTGTCCTCTATCCAGCCAGGGTTGGCACTGGAATATTCATCCCTCCTGTAAAGGCGATGCGAATTTTCGAGGTTAAAGCACAATAGATGCTGACTTCGGTCAAACGTGGTAGTGAACTTCCATTCCCCTGTCCTGTCATTTTTCTTGCCACTTGAAAGCCAGTTCGAAAAGTTCTGATAGTCCTTGAAAATGGCCGCAAAATTGTCCAGCCCGAAGCTGTTGAGCAATCCCAACGTGCAAATCATGTTAGCGACAGATGGGGCCGTAAAGGCGCCACGGGAAAATCCAGTGAAGATAAGCTCATCTCCGTAGTTATAGTTCTCGCAGACGAAACGGTAGACATCTGCAATATCCTGGAACATGATCAATACATAAAGCTAGATCCCGAATGTGATTCTCAACTCACTGCCACTACGCCTTGTCCGAAAAGCCCACCAAGAGCTCTTGCGGTGAGGGACTGCTCTGTCCCTGCTCCCCTGTGATAATAGACCACTCGAGGCATGCCATTGCAACACTTATGAGCCACTACGGTTGCGAGACGTCCAACATTGGTCTGGATTCTCCCTTCGGCGTTGCTTCAGAAGGTGATCAGCGACAATTCAATCCAAGTCTGGGTGTCATGACGCGAGGGGGAAGCAGTCATACGAGTCATTCCAAGTCCAGTCACAGCAGATGACGATTCGCTTCCGATGAAATTCTCTGGCATCCGAGCTATGACCGCAAGCTGTCACAGCAGTTCCTCCATCGGCAAACGCGTCCGGCGGCTGGCAGAAAGGCATGATGATGGATCTCGTCAGGATTCCAGAAAACGTTGAAGTTTGAAAAGATCCCTTTGCGGTCAAGACCACTGGCCGAGTGAAAGAAGGGCGGGATTCGAATTATAACTGAAAACTTGAAGACCACATGTAGAAGAATCCAAGGTGCAGAAAAGCCGCGCGTGTCTCAAGCCACATGAGCTGAGCCGTCGTCAAAATTGACCGATATGCCGTTCACAAGAGACCATCGGGAAATACATTCCACTTTTCCTCGCCAAGTCTCTCACACACAAGATTGCAAATCACAGGAGGCATCGCGGGCAATTGGTCAATCCACGTATCCTATTGCCTGAAGGACGATCAGCCATGCTTAATCTAGTTCTCGGCGTCCATCGTCCATATAGACCTGTCTCCCGACGTAGTATATGCCCTCTTGCTAAATCTCCTCCCATGAAATAGAAGTGATTGCGCTTAGTTGCGTGTGATAATTTGTTGTTTCTCCGCTCTTTCCGGTGCCCTTTTGCCTCGAATAAGTCTTCAATTGCTGGGAATAGTCTATATCATAAAAGAGTCTGCGACGTCCGTGACTTAGGCTCAGTAAACTTCCTATCTCGCATCAATTTAAAGCCCAATCCCATCATTGTGAAATCTGGGGACCTTGAGACGAAGCTATCGCCGCTAGCATCAAGCTGGCTCGGCACGATCCGAACGTATCTTCAGCGGCACTTGTTGGGTGCAATGTCAGATGTCATAGTGACTCTGTCCTGATACCTCCCCGTAGCATTCCTCTTAGAAGGAGCTAGTCTCAGGTGGGAGCCGTCGGCAAAGAACATAAGCGTGGCAAATCAAATGGCACATAAAGTGCGATCTCATAAGCCGAATGAAAACTCAAACCGCAGTGCATTTGCATCTTCATATCACCGCATGCTCGGGAATAAATGTTACATATCCCGAAGTGCCGAAGATCCCCCCGCCGGGCTCTTAATGGGCCGAGGCCGATGTGAGGGCCGTCTCTGGGCAAGATTGCCACGGCTACCTTTCAAGTACCGCACTTGCTAGGCGTGTCTGTCTCAAGTCGCTGGCGCGGGTCAGCTCTGTCTCATCCCGCCAACATTGAATCCGGACTGAGACTGGAATGTCAGCTTATGAGAAAAACACGCGACCCTACCAGGGCAGCCACGTGGAATTTACGTGAAGTTGCAAGTTAATGGAGGTCAAGCATTGGAAGAAATCATGGACAAATGCATGAGGACCGTGTCGATCCCGCAGTAGCCAGCATCGATCTTTGGATATTTGAACCTACTCACTTTGTCAAATTTCGCCGCCCAAATTTTGAGCTCAAATTCGGATGGATGGTTAGACCATCAGGCACCATAATCATTGTCAACTAAACACAAGTCACGATCCATTGCCAATCTACAACAGGTCCCGGAGCAAAGCAACGGCGGTGGAGGACTTGGCTGCGCTTGCATACCCTCATTGGGCCCATGCATGCAATATGAATCAATTGCGAAGCACCTCGTACTGCCGGCAAATTGCAACACTATTCCTACAGGCTCATAAAAAATTGGTGATTTGCACACCGAATCCTGGAGATGCCTGCCCACAGAGATCGCTGCGAAGAAGTCCAGTGAAAGACTTGATGCGGACGGCAGAGGCCGACTCTGGGGGGGCCGTTCCGAGCCCGGTCTCCGTCCCGGCGCCGCGTCTCGGTCTCCGAGACGGCTTGCGCTTGTTGCCCCACATCCCACTTTCCGCCCCTCCCCGACGCGATTTGCGCGCAGTCAGCATCGTACCACATTTTAGACGCATCACTCGGGACACTTTTCGACAGCCTGGCTCTTCGATATCTTTGGACTGCCGACCTGCATATAGACACCGTCATTCGTTGAAACCAGAGAGAGAAAAAAGCACGACAATTATGGCGTCCACATCACGCCACCTTCGCATCGGTGTTGATGTCGGCGGGACAAACACAGACGGCGTCGTTCTGGACCCTTCGCGGGCCTCGGAGCCAGATAAGGGCATTGTCGCATGGCACAAGTCACCAACAACGACAAACCCCAGCGATGGCATCAACAATGCGATCGTGACGATGTTCGAGTCTTCCAAGATCGGGCCCAGCGAGATCGCGAGCGTCACTATCGGCACGACTCATTTCGTCAATGCCCTTATCGAAAGGGATGAGACCAGATTGGCTCCTGTGGCTGTTATCAGGTTGACCAGCCAGTTTTCCAAGCACGACCCGCCTTGCTTGGATTGGCCCGAAGACCTCAGGGAGTTGATTCTGGGCCACTATGCTTTATGCAAAGGTGGCCTGGAGGTTGATGGGGTTCTCATTTCTGATATCGACCCTGAAGAGATCAAGGCTCAATGCTCGATCATCGGCGAGAAGGGGATCAAGAACGTTGTCGTCAACGGCATCTTCAGCCCAATCGACACGACAGAGAGGCAAGAGGAGAGGGCTGCCGAAATCATCCGCTCAGAGCTTCCTGGCTGTACCGTTACATGCTCAAAAGATGTGGCCAATCTCGGATTCCAGGAGCGTGAGAATGCTGCTATACTCAACGCCACTGTACTAGACTTCGCCCGTAAGACGATCAGATCCTTTCAGGAACCCATCAAGAGACTGGGTCTACACTGCCCAGTCTTCATCTCCCAAAACGACGGAACCATTCTCTCAGGAGAGATGACTGCGAATCTCCCAATCCGGACATTTTCCAGTGGACCAACAAACAGCATGCGCGGCGCTGCCTTCCTAGTGCAGGATCAGCTTGACGAAGCCGTCATGGTGGTTGACATCGGTGGTACGACTACCGATGTTGGTCTTTTGCAGGCAAACGGATTTCCAAGACAACAGGCGGCGTTCAGCGAGTTTACAGGTGTTCGCCTGAGCTTCTCATGCCCGGACGTGAAAAGCATAGGCCTGGGAGGTGGTTCCGTTGTGCGTAAGGGCCGAGAGAAATTGACGGTGGGCCCCGACAGCGTCGGCTATAAGATCAAAACTGAAGCCCTCGTCTTTGGAGGTTCTACTCTGACAGCGACGGATTGCACTGTGTTAGCCACCGAAGGGAAGCCATCAGCGCCGTCTATCGGTGATGCGAGCTTGGTCAAGGGTGCGCTTGACGCTGAGGAACTATCTCAATTCACTCAGATCGTCCAAAGCAAGATCGAGAAGGTTATCGACACGATGAAAACTTCGCCCGACGATATTCCGGTTCTTCTTGTGGGTGGTGGTGCTGTCATCGCGCCAAATGAGCTTCGCGGGGCTAGCAAAGTCTTGAAACCCGAGTGGGCTGGAGTCGCCAATGCCATCGGTGCGGCTATTGCACGCGTCAGTGCTACCATTGACACTGTCAAATCAACTGAGTCTCGAACAAGCCAGGAGATATTGAGTGAGGTGGAGCAAGAGGTCAAACAGAAGGCTGTTGCCGCAGGGGCAGTCCCATCGTCGGTCCAGATTGTGGACGTGGACACAATGCCCTTGGCCGTGAGTATACCAAGTCCACAGATGGAGAAGTCTTGACTAACAATCACAGTACATTGCCAACAAGTCGCGATTCATTGTGCGCGCTGCCGGCGACTTTGACTTTTCCAGGACGGATCTCGCGTCTATCCCACTGAGCGACGAAGATGACACGCCTCAGGATTATACCACATATTCTCGTGCCAAGAAGACGTCCAGAGTCAAGGCCAAGAAAGAGGTTGATGTTTTGAAATATAAGCCAAGAGTTGAAGATCGCGTCTGGTACATCAGCGAAACAGATCTGGACTGGATCAGTATCGGATGTTACATCCTCGGAACGGGAGGAGGCGGGTCTCCTTACTCGCAACAGATCATCCTGCGCGAGAAGCTCCGCAAGGGTGCCGTTGTGAGGGTCGTCAACCCCGCTGATATTCCCGACGAGGCGCTCGTCGGCTGCGGGGTTTACGCCGGGTCACCCACTGTGGCTATTGAGAAGAAGTCTGCGGACGAAATGCAAGAGGCACAGACAGAGATGTACAAGCACATCAGAAAGCCGCCGACGCACATGATTGCGGTTGAAATTGGGGGCGCCAATGGCCTGCAGAGCATGATGATTGGCTCCAGCACCAACATGGATGTTCCTGCAGTCGATGGCGACTGGATGGGCAGGGCGTACCCGACAAAATGGCAAACAACACCAGTTGTCTTCAACGAGCGAAGTCCTATCTGGACGCCAGTTACAATGAGTGATGGCAATGGAGCGATTGTTACTATGTCGCGCGCATCTTCAGACAAGCAGGTTGAACGTGTCATGAGGGCTGCCTTGGCAGAGATGGGCTCACAGGTTGCTGTTGCCGACCCTCCCGTGACTGGGGCAGAGACCAAGAGATGGGTAGTTGAGCATACACTTTCTCAGTCTTGGAGGATTGGTCGCGCTGTGGCTAAGGCCAGGAAGCTCAACCGCGTGGACAACGTTGCTGAGATGATCATTGAAGAGTGCGGTGGTTCAACTGGAGCCAAGGTTCTGTTCAAAGGCAAGATCGTTGGCGTGGAGAGAGTATTAAGAAAGGGGCATGTCTATGGCGAATGCATAATTGAAGGTGCAGATGTGTCTGGTTCAGATGAACCCGGCCATCAGAGA